AGCTGGCCAAGTAGGTCAAGCGGGGCGCAATTGGGAAGGATGAATTGTGAAAGCGTAAGTAAACAATACCGAAATGATAGGTGGATTGTGGACTGATAAAGAAATGTAAAATAAATGATGAGGCGAATCTGGAATGGCAAATGCATGCTAAATAAATCCTAAAAGTGATGATCGACCAAATGATCCATGGAATGATAAAAAACCTATAAGCTCTTTTCCAATCTCTACCACCCAAAAAATCTTATAACCCAAAGGGTTTGTATAGCAACTGGTGGCTGAGGCGGCTTAGCTCCAAGCACAGGTAACCACACAGGGTGTTCCCGTGGTTGTACCTGGCTCATCATACACAACCAAAGCACTACAAGTCTGCGGATATTTCCCAAATTGGGATCCCATTATGCACCTACATAGGGACTCTCCGAAACAGGATCAGCACTCTTGAGAAACCCCAGGCACAGCTAGGAAGCGAGCAGATCATCTCTGTGCTGGCATGCGGATTTGACCTAAGGATCGGTCTACTGACCCAAAGTCACAGACCCCATGCCTTCCCTGCAAAAGAGAACAAGAGCAGAGAGATTGAGACTACATGAGACTACCGTCAATTTCCGAGGTCCAGGATTATGTTTTGACACCCCTCAAGCATTGGAAGTTTGAAGAGTATGAAGGTGCGAGTCCCGGGCTTTGCCAGGGAGTTGCAGTTCTCGGTCCACTTCTTTCCGGCCTGATGGCTCAACATCTGCCAACTACTGACTAATTGGCTTCAGAAGCATCCGGCCTCATTGGCCCATTCCTCAGAAGCCGCCCTGTCATCATGCAAGCAGGCCACTCTGCTCTTCCTCTTCCTCCTCTTCTTCTTCTTTTCTATATGCTATTGAGCGATCCCGGAGGTCGCGCCGAGCTTAACCGCCGAGCACACCTGCCCGAAGCTATTTGCAGACCTGATTGCTGAAGACGATCAGTATTCCCATTGCTCCTTGTAACGCCGCCTGCAAAAAATGCCCCCAGGCCTTCGACTAAAGTCAGATTGCAAACGTGAATCGCTTCGCTCGAACCTGCTTCGAATATCTCGTTTCCTTTGTTTTGCTTACAAGGGATGGCGGGGAGGCCTGGCGCACACTCTGCCCCTCTCACTCTCTGTCTGTCCGCTCTCTTTGAAGAGCACCAAACTGTCAGAAGCATTGACACTTGCTGAGTGCTGCGCCATTTTATCAGTGCAGATCCTCCAATGGAGCAACGGACACGTCGACATTCCAAACACCTGGCAACACCGGACTGTAGTCGTGCTACTTTTTTGCTTGTTCCATTCTAGCACCGGTCAGCGGACTTTTACGCAAGCCATGTCAGCTGCACACAGCTGTGACAGGCCCTTGCATGAAACAACCACCACTTGCAAACTCCATGTAGACCCTGCAAAGACTTTCCTATCCGGAGCACAGTTTGCTGAGCGGGCAGCCAAAAGGGCATGGGCAGTTCTGGTCCTCAGCTGATGGCCCTTGTGCCAAAACCTGCTCAAGAGTGTAGGCTTCACTGCGCCAGCTTAACAGGTTTTCCTCTGCCGAAAGCTTGCTCCCATCGCGCCTCTGTAAGGCAAAGAACCAGAGCTGCCCAAACCTCATGAAACAGTCTACTTCGCGAGGCTCACCGTGACACACCTGATGCCGGCATAATTTAAAGCCACTATCCCCTGAGCTGCTAACATGGCTTGCCATGGCGGGCCGCCGCGGCTTGCTAAAGCTTCGCCAGGCACGCAGCTGGGCTCAATTCAGCTGCAGGTGGCAAGGCCAGGAATGCTCAAGAGCCCGTGCAATTGGGCACTGGGTACAGTGCAGGCATACAAGCCACCCGAACTTTTCTGTGCTCTTGCACATGCACTGACTGCATACGAACATGCACATCCTCAGGAGGGCATGTTCTTTCCATTTACTTCATGCTAGTGAGACCCTGGAAATGTGAAACGCTTGGAGATGCCATGGACTTCATTGCAGAAGCAGGGGCGGGCACCCGCCCTCAGGACGTCAAGACAGATGGAAACATAGGAGCGCCAAAAGCACTCCAACCTGGCCATGGGAATACCGGAGTATCTAGGCGTATATTGAGGTTATCTTGGGACAATGGAAAGGAAAATGGAAACTACTATAATGGGGTATATAAGGTTTTATAAGGGATATGTAGGGATAATGGGAAAGAAGATGGAAACTACAGGGTTTATATTGGGGTCATGTATCCTGTGCTCCTCTCATAGTCTTCTTAGTCTTGGCATATTATGCTGACCATCAACTCATGCAGGACCCGCCATTCTAAGCTGTGAGGCGCTGTTGCAGTCAACATCGCAGTCCAGGACTGTAGCCTGCGCTGACCAAGCACCACACGGCACACCAGCTCCCAAGGCAGCACCAAAAACCAAAAAAAGACCAAAACAAGGAAGGCCAACACCAGAAACTATAGCAACTTGGTGTAGTACAGTGTAGAGGCACCTGTGCATCCATCCCGTCCGCTCCAATGACTCCGGAGTCCTCCAGCCCAGCAGTACATGGAGGAGCAAAGCATGGTGGACGCCCTCCCGAGTGACATGGAAAGCCCTTCCCCCTGTGTCCTTGATAGTTGTGAGCGCCCTCAGGAACAGCCATGCAGCTTCTTGTAATGTCTTGCTGAAGCAAGCACTCACACTGTCAGAGATCAAAAGCAAAAAAGGATTCTAAAAAACAGTCAGCGCCTGCAATGGTCTCCTACCACTCCCAGACATTCGTCGGACCACTGCCTCACATAGTGCTGACTTTGCGGACTCTGCTTCTGATATCAACTCACGCAAACGTACTGGGATCAGCGACTTGGCGCAGTACACCTCAAAGCAAGAAGCTTCTATGAGAAATTCTAAAGCCTGTGTGCTGGCCTCGCACTTGATCTCCTCACACGGTGTCAGCTTCTTGCCCCGTGCAGGCTCCTCAGCCTGGGCTCTCTTTGCAGCCATGGGCGCATTACGGTAAGCTGCGCTTAAGCTGGCCTTGCAGCTTCGGATGCAGCGCTGAACGAACTCCTTCCATGGCTTGATCAAAGAGCAGCCCATCACCTTCTTAAAAACATACACGGAACCAAGAGGCAAGATTGTTTACGGACCAAAACCCCTTCAACAATGGAGCCTTCATTTTCCTCCGGCCCGAAACAGCGCTTGCAACTGCCTGTGTGTAAGCAAGCGAGATGCAATCTACCCGGAGATATCCGGTGGACACGTGAACCTGACGTGAGGGTTGGGATGGGGGAGGGTAGGGTCGACCGGAGGGGGTGCATCTAGGAGATATCTCAGAAGGCTTGGTAAGCAATCACTACTTAAGCCCTCACCAGGCAATCTCTGAGCACTCGGGCCTGGGTAACTACCTGGCGAATGCTCGGCAAAAAATAGATACGAGTAGAGGGCCTTGCTAATACCTAAGGCCTCGGAACAACCCGCAGAAACTCTTCCCCGTGCTCAACACATCCATGATTTGCATAGATCATCCCGAAGGCATCTCTAAATCCCTTTTCTGGTTCTATGACATGGAGGGGGTCGGAACAGGCTGTTGGGGTCTTTGTGCAACAGGTTGGTTCTATGAAATCCATGAACATCACTTGGTGCAGGATCAGCAACGAACAATAAGCTGGAAATGGGCTGTTCTTGCATGTAGGAGGATCCCGGATCCTCGTTGCAAACGTGGGAGTACGTCTCGACACATCTGTCCCGCCGAAAGCTCGCCTTCGACTCTGCCAGATCAAGCATAGTTTTTGCAGCAGGCAGATCCCTTTAAGGCATGACGCTGAGGCCTGCATTCCTGCAGCACAAGACTCGCAATCAGCGATTCGTGTAGATCCGGGGTTGGAAACCTGGATGCTACTGACAGAGTGAAGGCCAGCAAGTTGCCTAGGAGGTTCACTAGGGACACCACCCGTGGCCCCTCGCGATTGGCTTGCGTGTTATCTGGACACCTCGGCTTTGACCAAATCACTTTGTCTGCACGTTCGGGACAGAAGTCAGCATCTGCACAAAACAATTGGGCTCGAGTGAAAACCCCATGGCCACTCTTCCTATCCTATTTTATAAACCTTATCGTCGAACTTATCGTTGTTTTTTTTTATTGGTTATCGTTTTACAGGGGAACTGTCTAATATTTCTGGAATTGTAAACCTTATCGTTTTTTGTGTATTGGTTATCGTTTTATATCGTTTTACAAGGGAAGCAGCAAATAGGACCGCTCTTCTATAAATT